AAAGGGCATTGACTAAAATTGGTGCCTTTCTTTTTTCTGGCGGCAGTCGATGATTTATGGAAAATATTATCTAGAATGTCATTACAAACGAAATTGTCTATGGGCTCATATATGGAAATCTCAGTCTGGACTAAGTTATGAGCGTTAAAAGGAGCTGGAATCAAACATTTTACTTTCGTTTTTTTATTCAAATTATTCATATTTTTGTCACAATTCCTAACTTCAAATTGCGCGCCACTGTACGCCGGGCACAGAAACACCAAATCACACCACAATATATCCATATTGCCAGTCGCTAATTTTTATTAGCTATTTTCTCTCAGTCGATAACTTGTAGGATGCTTCTAGGAGTTGTGTCATGAAGCTTCATGAGTGTCAGCTGTGGTACTAGTGGTGGGTTGAGTAGCTGTAGCCGTCCAAACATCTAATAAAGTATTTTTTTGCCGTTGACTCCTGGTGGGAGACTCATATACTTTATAGTTAGCATAATCTTTTGAAGAAAGCAAACCGTCGAAACCGTTGTAAAGTGATGGACTATACGTCAGACGAGCGCATAATTTTTTCATATAATGTGATCATTCGAAATGCATCTCTTTGTGACTGACGATGTCTTTGTACAGAATCTTATGCTAGATGTAGATTAAAGTATTAACTGTAGTTAGATTAGTCACTAATCGGAAGTAAGTCGGGAGAAGTAGACAGAAAAATGATTTTTTCGTGTTTTGACGACTGTTACTACTCAATTCGCTACCGACGCCGCAGCTGACCAACATAGCATAGCAGTAAAGTATTTTGCGGCTTTTTGACTGAGAGGAAATTGATCATGTAATCTGTCATAGGCCATAAACCGTATACATATATAAATTGAACACGTTAGCCAATCAAACGAAATGTTTTTTTTTTTCTTCAGCAGTGGTCAGTTAATGGTTCACTCTGTTCTGATTCCGTGGCCTTATAATAAAAAAAAATATAAACAAACAAATAAAAAGTAAAAAAGTCCACAATAAGCTTTATTATATTCCTTGATATCATCTCTAAACAATTATTAAAAAATATTTCTGACAAGTAAATGAAGAAATATGCGTTGTGTACGGTCACCATCAACAAAATCACAGGAATTATATAGCACTATTTTCACATTTTTGAACTAATTTAACTCGGTTCGGACTGTGTTTTTGATATAAGACCCCATACATTTTTTTGTTTGTAATGTTATTCTGCATCAGTTTATCCACATTCAATCAACTGCCGCGAAAAAATAAAAAGGCACCACGCTCCATACGAATTTGGTCATTGTCATTTAGAGGTCATTGTCTCTTGTATACGATATACGTTACCAATTAATCAAATACTTGTATCAGAACAATTTTATCAAGAAATGAAAGAAAAGCAGCTCTGAGGCATTAGTACGAGTTTCGTTAGAAACGAAACCTCGTCCGGCGCTCTGAGGGCCAAGCACGAACAACTATCGCATTCGTATCGTAACAGTATCGAGCGAGTTAAGCGTTCTGATTGGTTGGTTCACTTGAGCCGGCCAATCAGAGCGCCGAACGCGTACTCGTTACGATTAATTTAAACGTAAAAGAAAGTCGTACTAAGGCCTCTGTTCCTTAGCTCCCAAGCGTATATTGAGATTGAGTCAAGATAGATTTTTGTGGATAAAGAGGGCAAATGAGTTGATGAATCACCTGAAGGTAAGTAAACGGCGGCGCCAATAGACTCTGACAGCACTAGATGATTAAAAGCGTATTGCCAGGCTTTTGGAAACTGAGGATTTGTTGGAGCGAAGAATTGGGTCTCTAATAACCAGGGATACAATGCAAGCTTGGTTTCATACCAGCTGTTTATGAGGCCGTGGTATCGGTCAAAACTATACATCCGGCTAATTCATGCCGAAGCATGACTCTCCTACGTGCACCATAAGGCATTTGTTAACAAGTTTTTTTACTTGCTATGCATATATGTATGCGTGTGAAATGGAACCTTGCCTCTAAATCTTGAAGCAGATAACTTCAACCGACATAAAATAACATCACGCCTTTTAACCCCGACAGGGTAAGCAGAGATGAACATTTACGGCACTTAATGCCACTATACAATGTAACACCCACTTTTCACTATTTACGTTATCAGTCCCATGTAATAGGGGGTCAGCCTATTGCCATAATATACCGGGCACAATTCCAGACTCCGTGCCACTACTGACATGTTTTTTAAAAACCCAGTAATACTTTGTCTGACCCGAAAATCGAACCCGAGACCCCTTGCCCGGCAGTCGTACTTGCAACCACCCGGCCAACGAGGCACTCTAACAATGATTGTTGAAATATATAAGTAAATAAGAATTATATTATGACTTTCGTGAGAGATACTAAATAAATTATTATGTTTTCGGCTTACTCACGTAATAATTTGATTAAATGTGTGTAGTGTAGTGATTAATTGATTTAGTATGTCTCACGAAAGTTACAGTTCACATACAAAATTAATTATTATTTACTAGCGACCCGCCCCGGCTTCGCACGGGTGCAATATGCATGTATTATACATACAAACCTTCCTTAAGAATCACTCTATCTATTAAAAAAAACCGCATCAAAATCCGTTGCGTAGTTTTAAAGATCTAAGCATACATACGGACATACAGCGAAAGCGACTTTGTTTTATACTATGTATTGATCGAGCAGTCAGTAGCAGCGCGACAGTCGACGCGTCGCGGGTTGCGGAATGCTGCTCATGAACGCTAAGTGTGGGAGAGCCATGCTTCGCCACGAATGGGCCGGCTCGACCAGAGTGAAACCACGGCCGAGCAGAAAACCGACGTGAAACAACGCTTGCGTTGTGTTTCGTCGTCTGAGTGAGGTTATCGGAGGCCCAATTACCTCACTCCCGTTCCCCAATTCCTGAGTCCCCAACGATCCTCAAACTCCTAATCCCCAAAAGGCCGGCAACGCACTTGTAACGCCTCTGGTGTTCCAAGTGTCCATGGGCGACGCCGATAGCTTACCATCAAGTGATCTGTCTGCTCGTTTACCGGCTTATGCCATAAAAAAGTGATAAGATGGCAAAGCATGGTTTGAAACTAGTTCCTCGTCAAACAGTTACGTGAGTAAGCGAAAAACATAATAATTAATAAATAAGAATTGTTATACGACATGTGCTGCTGACCAATGTCCTGATATCCCCAGTAGTCCACATTGTAAGCACTTCATCCACCCAAATCCATAGGGACTGACATCTCCCCCAATCTCAACTACCATTCATATACAATCGCCTTTAAATAAATATAGCTGTATAATCATTCATTCTTATTCGTACTCCTAGAAATTTTGGCAAATTGCATTTTATACTTTTTTTAACCCCATCGATACAATATTGTTGTCTATGACCAAAATTTTTGCTTGTGGCAACATTGGCGGAAACAGTGGTGTGTGTTTGGAAAATTTTATATATATTTTTTTTAATACATCTTATCATCATCTTATTTTAGAGACACCAAACTGAGAAGTGTCTCTCCAAGCTATAAACCATAAGCAGGTATTGAATATATCAGACAAGACAGTGGCTTATTGTTGCCCACAACAGCTTGTCGCGAAACAGTAAAACAACAAAAAAAAATACATCTTGACATACCTGTAAAATGCCTAGTGTGAATACAATATTCAAAGACAATTTTAGACAGATGTATAACCCAATAGCACTTTTTGCGACTCGGGAATCGAACCCAGTAACAGCAGTAATGCAACTAGCTTTTGCCCGCGATTTTACTCATAAACATTTTAAGCGTCAGCCATTGGGGAGACCGATGACCGGTATTACTCGAGAATTTGCCTTCAACCTATTTCTGTTAGCATTTAAGACATTTAAGAAGCCTGCAGGTGTTGCCAAATGCCATTTAACGCTTGTCTACATGTAGAATAGAAAACCAAATCAAATGGAATTGACGTAAATTTTGACACTTGTCAGTGTCATCCCCATACATTTAGTTTTCTACTCTCTCTGTAGACAAGCGCTGAAGTGGCGTTGGGCTAAAGGCACTGGTTATCTTAACCTTCAGGCCAAGAAGGCATTTTTCAATAATGTGATGACGAGTTGGCGCATACTTCGACATGAACAGAAAATTCCAACAGACAACTTGGACAGTAGCCCTCAAGGCATATAACCTCGCCTGGGCGCTTACTCTTGAAAGCAATTTCAAAAGATGTCTAGGGTCAAGGACAAGTAATAAATCCCTTAGTTATAGAAAAACCTAGAAAGGAGATCAATTCGGCTCCATAAATTTTTGGGCCATTTCTGAAAAACTAGGTCAACGAAAAAAAATTGTACGTATCGTTAGAACTAGCCATTTGGAGCCATCCTTACTAATATAATAAATCGGAAAGTTTCTTTGTTTGTTTGTTTGTTCCGCTTTCACGCTATAACTACTAAACCGATTGCTTTGAATTTTTGCAGACGTAAAGTTAGAAGTCCGGATTAAATAATAGGGTACTTTTTATCCTGGAAATATTTGATAATCCCAAGCGAAAAAAAAGGTATTGGTATAGATGGCGCTGTGTGTATTGGTAAATGTCACATTGGTTTTTTATCCTTTTGTGACGCGAGCGAAGCCGCGGGTAAAAGCTAGTAGTTAATATGGCGTAAAAGTTGTAGGATACGAGAAGATCAAATTACTAGGTTTTTCTTAAAATACCCATAATTTTTAAACTGCATAGGATATATTTTTTTTTTTTAATTTTTTCTTATGACAATTATAATTAATTTCGTCACCCCTTTTCGGTTTGACGTTGAGTTCTGAGCCACCCTGTATCTATTTGGATGGATATTCTTACCTTTCCTTCAGAACTCCCAAGGAGACGGTGACGATCACATTTTTGGCTCTGTAACTGCTTCCGTCCTTGCAGTAGACCACCACGTCTTGTGTGGGATCCTGAGGCCAGGCTATTTGGGTGACTTCCTTTTTCAACTTGATGTCTAGGTTCGGGTAGCCCGGGCCGTTGTTGTAGGTATTCTGAGGGAGAAAAGGTGGTTAAAGTCTATTTGGACTTTCGGTTTAGAAAGTATTTGGATGACATAAGATGATAGATTTATTGGGGAAACCAAAAAATTCAATAGCACTGTGCCTGACAATGGAATCGAAGTTTTGCTTAGAAGTGGCACTTATAACCAAAATAAATGGCGCCGTTGTAATCGTAATTCTTACTAATATTATAAATCGGAAAGTGAGTTTGTTTGTTTGTTCCGCTTTAACGCCGTAACTACTAAACCGATTGCTTTGAATTTTTGCAGACGTAAAGTTAGAAGTCTTGATTAAATAAACTGATACGGTACTTTTTATCCCAGAAAAAATTGATATTCCCGCGGGAAAACAAAAGTATTGGTCTAGATGGCGCTGTAACTATTGGTATATGTCACATAGGCTACTTTTTATCCTTTAGTGACGCGAGCGAAGCCGCGGGTAAAAGCTAGTGTTTTATATTTGATACTATTATACGTATAAAGCTGAAGAGTTTGTTTGTTTGTTTAAACGCGCTTATCATATCACATAAAAGATAAGTACAATAAAAGTGTGACATTGGAAGTAAGAAAAACATCATCATCATCATCATATTGCATATCATCATCATGTAGGCTGTTGCCTATAAATGCCCAATGCTGAGCTAAGCCTCTTCTCATATGGAGAAGGTTTGAGCATTAATCACCACGCTTGCTCAATGCGGGTTGGCGATTACAAACTTATAATTAGATATTATAAGCCCAGGTTTCCTCACGATGTTTTCCTTCACCGTTTGTCAGTGGTGTCTGAATAATCTTAGAAAGTACATATAACTCGGAAAAATCTCACATTGGTACTTGCCGTTGGTACCTTTCGAAACCGCACCCTCATGCATGAGAAGCGGGCGTCTTAAACCTCCGGGCCACCACGATAATTAACACAGAAGTTTAGTAAGAAAAACATTAAGTTGAGAAATTAAAACAGAAGTATCAGAATAGAGACGCTAACAACATGTCTATGCTAAATGGGTTACCCACTCAGTGTAAGCTAGGCATACGAGTCACTCAGCACTGATTTGGGCGGATTCAGTGGGCGCTGCTACGATTTGAAAAAAAATCTTTTTGTGTTGGATATTCATTAACCGAGGAAGGCTATCCTTATCCTTACTTAATATAATATAATATTTAATTTTAACTCGTCGAGTACCGTCATTATAGACACAATTATAGAACAATAGGTTGCGGTCACCGGTGACCGCTTGGTGTTTGACAGTTTAATATAATATTATAAATCGGAAAGTAAGTTTGTTTGTTTGTTCTGCTTACAGGTCGTAACTACTAAACCGATTGCTTTGAATTTTTGCAGACGTAAATTTAGAAGTCTGGATTAAATAAAAGGGTACTTTTTATCCCGGAAAAATTTGATATTCCCAAGGGAAAACAAAAGTATTGGTATAGGTGGCGCTGTGTGTATTGGTATATGTCACATTGGCTTTTTATCCTTTTGTGACGCGAGCGAAGCCGCGGGTAAAAGCTAGTAGGCCATAAAACATCACGCAACGATCAATAGGCACCGAGCAGAGCGGGTAAAACCGTGATAAAGTAGCAAATTACAAATCAAAGAACAACTTACCAATAAGATTTCAAACAAGGTCTTATACCCATGTCTATGCCAGCTCATGTGTTGGTACCCGCCAAGTTCTGTGTATTTTGACTCTGTGGACACTTCGTTCCAACTGTTAGATGATTCGTAATTGTCTATGACTAAATCTAGAAACTCGAGTAAATTGTCTATGAAGTCCTGGTCGGCCAATAGCGCTGGGTATTTCTCTTTCATGTAGTCTTTTAGGCTAGAAACAAATTAATTATTGTGAAAATGTGCATAAGCATATGACGGATCGAATTTTCGATACCTTTAATGTTAGTATTCATAAAGGCCATACTAACGTCTTATCGCCTTTTTCACAACCCTTCCCTAAGCCATCCCTGAATTAAGAGTTACTGAACACGAGGGAGCACCTAAACATATAGGTTGGTGAAAATAAAAATGCCGTTTAGTGTCACCTATCTTAGTTAAGGGGTTTTTTAAGATATAAGAGGGAAACGGGCATTAGAGTATCGAAAATCCGATACTTACCATATCACTACATAACTATAAAATTGCAACTTAAGATTTTTGCTACCAATATTAAAATTTTAAAACAATACATAAAATGCATCAGATCAACCTACTCCAATCTGACAAATTTATTCATTGGATTTTAGACTTTATAACATAACATCAAGCCTTTTATTCCCGAAGTGGTAGGTAGAGGTGCACTTGCGACCACTCGGCCAACGAGGCAGTCAGTTTTCGACTTTGTATCGATACAATAAAGTTGAAGCTTAATAGAAACATTTGACAGAAACGAACAGGCTGACCTGCTGGCCACTGAACAGATATAATTTCGACTTTATGATAACTTACCGTCTCGTAATAAATTGTCCTAAAGGTTCGGGTGTTTCAGGAGGATCATCGATAACGCTAAGGCTGAAAGTCAACAGCTCATTCAGAACCTTCTTATCTCCAATGCTCCCGTCTGACCGGTACACCTCAAAATCAATGTCCTGGGGTAGCACTGACACATTATTTTGTATCGCTAAGTTGTACACTCTCGACTGTTCTGTGCCGTGAATCCTGAAAAAAAGCTGTATCACAATCTTCGGCTCGATAGGAGTGATACCACGGCGTCACGGAAAGCCGGCGTGAAGCAACTGAAGCGATCTGTATAGCCGTGTTAGTGAGGTCAATGGAGGCCTAACCTTCCCCAGATCCTCGATCCCAATCCCCTAACGAATAAAGGCTTTTTTATGACGGGGATAAATCATCCAATGACTTCTCCCGCCCGGGAAAGGAGTGTCAGACTCTTACTGACTAAAAACCACCCCGTTCCTACTCCTGCACTTCTCCTCCTCCGTAGCTCCGTATCGGTATCAGCCCTATAGCGCCCCATCTGTGGTGGTCGAAGGGCTCCTTGAGGCGCGCTTGGAACGTAACACACGGCGTCCGGCCGGGTCTGGTTCTGATCGGGCGGCGAGTAATCCGTGCTCACCCGCAGGACCGTGTTTACGGTAACGTCTAAAAGGCTAGCAACTTGTTACTCAAACCACAATCTCCCCCAAAAACCAGCAACGGTTTGTAACTCCTCCGGTGTTGCGTGTGTCCTTCGGTGGCTCGCTTACCATCAGGCGATCCATCTGCCCTTTGCCATTAAATATGCGGCCAAGGAAAAAATCTTTCACGGCCTCGTTCGTTACCATCCGAATCTCTGGTAGGGCAAAGGTTTACTGACTGACTATTGAAATTGTTCAAATTACACAAATTGCCATTATGCCAGCAATATCCTCATGCCAAGGTTACGTAAAATTAGACTCTAATATATACACTCTTTTTGGGCGCCAAACCTGTTGCGGCGTCCCGCTCGGACGCTGCTCATGGCACAGAGGGTCATGGCGATCCGAATGATCCGCGGATACCGCACGATCTCTGGGGAGTCGGCGAACCTCCTTGCCGGATTACCGCCGTGGGATCTGGAGGCGAAGGTGCTCGCGCGCGTGTACAGCATGCGCGCGGAGGCACGTCGCCGGGGCGAAACCCCGCTGCCGCGCCAGATAGGTGCGTGGCGGGATGAGCTCCGGCGCGATCTCATGGCGGAATGGCAGCAACGACTGTCGCAACCGAGGGCTGGGCTCGCTGCCATCGCAGCGGTAAGTCCCCTCTTTGAGGAGTGGCTTGAGAGACGCTACGGCGTCCTCACCTACCGCCTGACGCAGGTCCTCACCGGACATGGAAGTTTCGGGAGGTACCTGTGTCTGATGGGGCGGGAGGAAACGCCCGGGTGTCATCACTGCGAGGACCGCCCTGAGGACACGGTGGAACACACGGTGGGAGAATGCCCTTCGTGGGCTGAGCACCGCCGTGTCCTCGGGGAAGTGATCGGCGATGGCGACCTCTCGCGTCCGGGCCTAGTGCAGGCCATGATGCGGAGCGAGGGGGATTGGGATGCCGTCTCCTCCTTTTGCGAAGCAGTCATGCTAGCTAAGGAGGAGGCGGGACGCGTGAGGCAGCGGAGCGCTGCCTCCTCGCAACCCAGCCATCGCGAAGGACACACCGGGCGTCGGGGATCGCGGGACGATCTCCGGCCACCGTAAGCGCGGGCCTGCGGACGGCGAGCATGGGTGGCTCCCCGTCCGACCAGAAACAGACCCGAGCGTGCGGCGCGTCGCGTTCCGCGCGCGCCTCAAAGAGCCATCAGACCACCACAGATGGGGCCCAATAGGGCCGATGCCGATTCGGAGTCGCGGAGAACCTAACGGGTAACCGGGGCTCCGGCTCGACGTGCAGGAGAAGGAACGGGGTGGTTTTTAGTCAGTAAGAGTCTGACACTCCCTCCCGCCTCACCCAGGCGGGGGCAGTCATTCGATGATTTTCCCCCCTTAAAAAAAAAAAAAAAAAAAAAAAAAGGGCCGATTTTTCAGCTAATCGTTAATTTTTAAATGTAGAATAAAATTTTCATTTGTCAGTTCTTAGTACGGAACAATTGTCAAATGTTCAAAGTTATTATTCAGTTAAAATATGTCTGATGTTGGAAAATTGGCTCTTAGTACTTAATCCGTCACTGTTATTCAAGGACATGTCGATATGGCTTCCGAAATCGTTGTTAAACTAATTATTATTATCAAGTTAAATTAGGTAATTAAATTAACGAACTCATTAGTAGAGTGGGAACACGAATGACATCGAAAAAACCAATTTTTTTAATTTTTTTTTTCATAGCACAACTGTCATAAGGTCGGTGTTACATTAAATGCGTCTATTGAGCATGCTCAAAAAAAGTTCAAAAATCGAACGCCTGTCGATTCGCAAACAATCGAAATGAGCATAATATATTTTGAGTAACATTTCGACACATGCTACGAAGTGACAAGCGCTCAATTGAAGCAGTAGATCAAGTACTTTCGTGTTTGAAATGAGCATGTGTGTAACAGTACCTTTACTCTTTAAAAACTAAAATAAGTAGTTAACTATAAAATCTATTTGTGTGTTTGTCTGTATGGCTTCGGCACGAATGGGCCGGCTCGACCGGAGTGATACGACGGCCGAGCAGAAAACCGACGTGAAGCAACGCTTGCGTTGTGTTTCGTCGTGTGAGTGAGGTTAGCGGAGGCCCAATAACCCTCCCCTTCCCCAATCTCCCCAATCCCTGAATCCCCAGCGATCCTCAAACTCCTAATCCCCAAATGGCCGGTAACGCACTTGTAACGCCTCTGGTGTTCAAGTGTCTATGGGCGACGCCGATTGCTTTCCATCAGGTCATCCGTCTGCTCGTTTACCGGCTTATGCCATAAAAAAAAGAATAACTAAAATCACGGATTATTCACGTGAGTAACCCGTGATTTTAGTTCATTTAGTTTGCCTCACGATAGTTATTATAAAAACAGATATAGATTATCTTCTGGAACAACATATAGGCTACTTTTCCACCACGATAACGTGGACGACGCCGCTGCCAGAGCCAAGAATTAAAATAAAGATGATAGGACTTTTTATATAAATTTAATGGGTCGACGTTTGACCACTATCTCGCCTGATGGTAAGCAATGATGCGGTCTACGATGGAGCACGTCGACCCATAAGCAACCTATTTACTCGGGCCTTGAAGACACCCCGGTTACAATACCCTTCAGGAAACTCTGACAAAGAATTCCACTCCTTAGCAGAACGCACAAGGAAGCTTGATGCGAAGCGCTTCGAGCGTATAGACTTACCACTCAGCTCCTACTTCAACGACGCCGTCTCCAAAAGGCACCGTGTTGACCCTGCCCCCGATCCTGTCCATAGCCTCCAGAGCTAGGACCTTCTTCCCAGCCTTGCTGAGAGTAGAGGCAGCGGTGCATCCAGCCGCTCCCATGCCGATGATTATCGTGTCGTATGCAGCCGGCATTTCGCTAGAAAATAAAGAACAGATTTTATTTTAT